AGAAATCTTTGAAAATTCCTTCTGATGGGACAGTCAAGTGCGTCTTTCTTTTGGCCAAAGGAGACACTTACAACCTTGATGTTATAGGAAAAGTTGCATCGGGAATTTGGAAGGTAAATAATCACACAGCCTGGCAATATAAATCTCATCCCCAGAGCCCGCAATGCAATTTTGGAGGAGAGTGTCTCACAATATTTTGCAATTATTGGTTGTAGACCAATAGGCCATTTCCGAGTTCCCTTTACCTCTGTTTCAAAATGAGTCCAAGTGCGAAACCTTCCATATGAAAATGAGTCTTACTCAAAAGGTCAGTCAAATGCAAATCAAACTTATTTTCATATGAAAGGTTTCACACTTGGACTTGTTTTGAAACATGGCCTATTCTTGCCCTGCACAAGAGACATCTTACACTGTAGATTCAACCTGAAATATTCCATACTGATGACACAGCTCTACAGAGATCTGTGTAGTACCTCTGATTGGTTGTTACATGTACCGGTACATGAAAATTCAAAGCCAAACAACACCAATCAGAGACACTATATGCATGGATCTCTGTAGAGCTATGTCATGGAATCTCAGACGTCTCTCTTGTGGGGAGGAATTGAGTTTGCAAAGAAAGACCTCTGTTTATACTCAGTAAATAACCTTAGTGTCTACAGATACATTGTACAACAAAAGATATGTCTGTTTACCCAGGTTAAATACCTGCCTAATGGTTATCTGGTTATGTGGGAGATGCAGTGGTCTTTAAATGGTTATCGTGTTGGACTCTGGATCGAGCGGTCCAGGTTCGAGCCCTAGCCTGGGTCATTGTGTTGTGTTCTTGGGCAAGACACTGTACTCTCACAGTGCCTCTCTCCGCCAGGAGTATAAATGGGTACTGGCAAATTCTGCCCAGGGGTAACCTGCGATGGACTAGCATCCCATCCAGGGGAGTAGCAATACTCCTAGTCGGCTTCATGCTAAGGGAACCGGGATAATTCCGGCAGTGTGGGCCAGTGTGGCCTGAGTGCGAGCTTACCTTACCTATCTTAATGGTTATCTGTCTTTATTGCTATGTAATTTAGGTTTGCAACTTTGAGGGAGATGATAAGTCAGGTGATAAGTCAGATGTGGTAATAATCGGTGGACTTGTCGAATCATTTTTGATGGTGGACAATGAAGTGCGGAATGCAGGTGTGGTTGGACTTGCACTAGCAGGCAACGTCGAAGCCATTTCCATGGTTCATCATGGAGAAACTGCAGAAGGAGTTCAACAAAGTTTGAAGCAGCTGAGACAGTCTGGCATCCCATGTGAAAAGAATACAGCTTGTTTTATGGTGTCGTGCATTGGCCGTGGTGAGAAGTTTTACAGTGCCAAGAATGTTGAAACTGGAATTTTTCGGCAGGAATTTCCTGGTATTCCTGTGGTTGGTTTCTTTGGCAACGGCGAGCTGGGCTTGGATCTGCATTCATGCGAGAGAAAGCTTGAGAGAGACAATCACTTTTTGCATTCTTATTCGTCAGTGTTTTGTTTGTGCTCCTTGTCATCGCAATCTAATAATGACAGTTTAACTCGACGACGTGTAAAAGGCACCGTTGCTATACATGCAGAGGAGACGTCTGATGCGAAAGAGAAGCCATGTTCAAGCATGTCTGCGTGACTCATTAACAAACAAATTTGGTGATTGTTCAAGTTCTGTTGAAGATAATTAAGTATTTTAGTGAGTCTGATAATTAAATGTTTTAGTGAGTTTTAAATTGAACGCCCGAAGAGGTAGCAAAACATTAGTCTCAAACCCTAAAAGTTTACGACAAGCATCGCCATTGACTTGCACGATATATACGTTAATATTTTATAGTTGATGTTTCATCTCATGTTATTTAATATAGTGGTTATATTTAACTTAAACTGGTGTTAACGTTTAGTAATTTTTGTGTGCAAGAGAGAGGGTGGGGTGCTGTTTGAATCCTTTAACAAAACACCTTAATTTGTTACTCTAGGCTGCCTAACTGATAACAAATAATAAATACAGTCGGGAGAACAAGTACCAGTCGATAGTGAAATCCCGCCTTCGAGATGGGATTGAGCCTGCAATTTTCCTTCCCGAAGTTGCTAAGCAACATGACATATCCTTAGTGCGCAATGCTTGTGTGATTACTCTTTGATTGCCTCAATGAAGATTTGCCAAAATGACACTTTGTTCCCTCGACTGAAATATAGCACAGAGTTTGTCTTATAATCATGATCAGCAGCCTATTGCAATCACTTTGTCCAAACCTCAAAATAATAAAAATTTAAAGGCAGATACTAATAAATAAAAATAAATATTAATACATTCAACTCACTATCTCTTAATTTCTGATTGGCCGAAAGCGTACAGTGATTTTCGAAATCAGCGCCTTTGAAAGCATCTACTCATCTACCTACAGATTATTGAGAGGATCACGGGTATACTGCAGATTATACAATAATCATGTCCAAGACACTCAAGGTCACAGGTAATCATGTCATCTATGACTGTGCAGGTGCATGATTTCAAGGGTTAAATCATGTCAAGTTCTTGCGCTTTGCATTGCTAACCGCTAAGTAACATCGGTGGCAGAAGCGTTATTCTTTTTCGTTGAATGTATAATAAAACAATTATTAGATTCGGTTTTTGTGATATCCAGAATAATCAAGGTCTTGGTAAGAGTTATCTGCCTCAGCCTTCGGCTTATGCTGATAACTCTTACCTCGACCTTGATTATTCTGGATATCACAAAAACTTCATCCAATAATAATTATTGTTAAATAGCTGTAGGAGAATTTGTCGTATTATTGTGCGGTTACAGAAAATAAGGAAAGTATGAAGCTAAACTGGAATTTCCAGAGGGTGGGGGGTAGTCAAACCAAAAAACCTTCTGTGGTGGGGGTATGGATATTTTCTGGAACAACACATAATATTTCTGTTTTAAGGCAATTTAAAATTAGTGATAAATTTTCATAAATTTTGTGAAATATGTAAATACTGTTACTATCAAATCCTTCCTGAGCCCCGGTTGTTCAAAGGGTGGATAATGCGGTCCACCGGATAAATCACTACCCAGTGGATAGCATTATAGTTTGTTTTATAACGATTTTTCCGGTGGATAGCGTTACCCACTCAGTTTGAACAACCTGGCCCTGAGCAACAACTTGCTATATGGACGGGTCAATTTACTTTAGTCTTTGACATTATGACTAATATATTCAGTACGTAAACAAGTAGTGTTAATAATTTTATTATTAATATTAATTTTGCCTGACATCAGCTCTTTTGTCTGACTTCAGCCTCCAACTGCTCCAGTAAGAGTTATTCAGCACAACAGAGTTGTACAAGTTAGACTGTGCTTGTTAAGATTCAACGAATAAAAATAATTTATTGTCAATAATAATTAATTAATTATTCAATTGGTATTTAGATCACATGTACTGAAACTTAGACATAATATTATCAAACGCGAGAGACAGGGTTTGATCAAATTTCCAAACCCCCGAGAAGAGTGTTGAAAATACGATGTGCAGCGGAGTATTTTTAATGAAATTTGAGGGGTTTGGAAAATATAATGTGATCAAACCCTAAGGAGGAAACAGAGAAATAAAATTGCACAAATCTATGGAGGTTTTGATCTCCGTCATGGTCATGATTTCCTTTGTTTTAACTTGATGAATTATTAATGAGTTTGAGAAGTTATACAGTCAAAGCAGACGTTGCGACCACTCTCATAAGTGACCAAGCTCTAGTTACGACCACCATTGCGAAACCCCGTTTCAATTATCACTCAAACTCTATAATAAATCTCATAAGCGACCGCTCGCGGCATTCATAAAGTGACCGCGACAACTTTTGGGAATTACCAACTGGTCATTTCTTATTGTAAGCACAATGCAGTGAATATGAACCATTATGTTATCTCCCATTATGCAAAATATTAGAATTATTATTCCAGGTTTTGTGACATAAGAGGCCTTTTCGGAATATTCCATCCTGTCACATCTTGCCACAGGGAGGAGAGGAGTCAAATTTGACCTTTGGCATTATTGTTCCATATGTTTTGTGCGATGTCTTAATTACATCTTTTTGTTTACGCATCTGTTTATCGCTCCAGCGGGGAATCGGTCACTTTCTGATCTTGTGGCACCCACAGTCAGTTTACAGCTACTCCCAGGGTAACATGAACACAGGCTTTGTGTCCCTCCCGTTGGTGATAAAAAAAACAGACGGTATTAATTAAAACATAGCCTCCTCCGCAGGCAACTCCTGGGGTCTGGGGCAAGAAAGGGGCAAAAGAGCTGGCACTGGGGCCGAGGCGAGCGCCTTTATGTAAGAGTTGCCTGCGGAGGAGGCTAATTAAAACATATAGATGAATAACGTGCAAAAGTCAAATTTGACTTGTGCTTCCTGCATTGTCTTGCCAGTCAGAATGTCCTGTCACTGTTCAGTTGATTGTTGCCTTTAAGGCGGGATTCTACCTGAATGCCATTTTTCCGCGACTTAACATGGGTTAAATTGAAATATCTCGTTCACGCTTCTAGCAATCCAAAAACTCTATGCTCATCCCATGAATCTATGTTATGGGGTGTTGGGTGATTTTTGGGTATTTTGGGGAGGAAATAGTTTTTCTCAAAGGAGTTGTAAAATTTCGGGAAATAAGAAATATTGAAGATTTAATGTAGTTTTAAAATTAGAATTTGAAGTTAAAAATTTAGTAGATTGACATTGACGACAGTTGATAACCACGCAAGAGCACCCGCGTGGGTATCAACTGTCTGTTGGTGTTCCAAAATTTTTTTTTTCCTTCTATCCCTTCTTTAAAACCTCTTAAAATTTCATTGAAATTCAGGTAGAATACCCCTTAATCGTATTAATATAAATTAAGCCACAGACTAAAATTAAGGTTAGGATGTAAATAATAAAGTTGGATAAATATTATTGTTAGTTGGATTTGTCTGGGATGTGGTGGTTTAATGCCAGTATTACGCCAATATTGTATGAGGCATGGTGGCATATATTGGTTATTAATGCATTGGACTCCGGATTGAGCGGTCTGGGTTCGAGCCCTAGCCAGGGTCATTGTGTTGTGTTCTTGGGTACTTTCTCTCTCTCCCTCAGGAGTAAATGGGTACCGGCATTGCATTTGTCAGGGCAACCTGACAAAAATGCTGGGGGGTTACCTGCGATGGACTAGCATCCCATCCAGGAGGAGTAGCAATACTCCTAGTCGGCTTCATGCTATGGAAACTGGAGTCTGTGGGGGATGATGTTTTGATGGGCACTTTTAACACAAAAAGGGGACGTTAAGGTGGCCATGGGAGTGATCAATCGGAAATATTGAAATGCACCCCTAAAAGATACCAAAATGAAAATGTTGTGGGCATGGCATGAATTCATAAGAGGTACAATTCTAATGATAAGTTGGTTTCTGTTATATTATTTTTACGGCTTATACCCTAAAAGGTACTAATGGCGACCATTTTTGAATTAAGGCCTAAGTGGTGCCAAGCCAAGAATTTTAACCCTAAAAGGTACGACAATCAGCTCCCGAGCATCAGCCTAGCTACCACAGTTCAGTTCAGTTCATTTTTATTCACACTTATTTCGATTACAATAAATTATTAACAATCATAAGAAGAAGGGAAAAAATAGAAAAGGACAGAGCAAGTATGAAATAACATTTTTTAAGGGGGAAGTGTGTAGTGGCCAAAGGAGCAAAGCTTTCGAGTTGGCCACTACCACAGTGCAGTTACAAAGAGAGGAAATAAAAATTCATACAAATAAGGCTCTAGTCGATATTATAAAGATATAATTAAAGTGACAAATATAACTATTTACAGGAGGGGGCTATAAGGGTAACTAAGTAATCTAAATATATATGTCTCCTGCTTCCTGCCTTTACAAAAATCTTACTTCCTGTTTTTCCTAATATGCCTCTTCCTTTCCATCCATTTCCTTCCAGGTTCCTCCTCCCAAAATATTGCAAAATTATTGGGGAATTCACACTGAAATAACAGTTAACTCGATATCTTTTAAATTAACATCCGTTGAAACGGAAATCGAAGGAAATTGTCCTTTCATTTTGCACCGAATTTTCCCTGAAATGGGCTGAAAGTGTCTACTTACAGTTCATGTGGAACGCACGAGGTGTCACGTGATACCGGCATTTTCAGACCAATCGGAAAGCGCGAATACCGCCATGAGCTCATTGTTGCTGGGAATGGCGATAGAGTTTGCGAAATTTTACCCTAGTTTTAGTTAAACTTACACATTATTTTTTACGTTTTTAACAATTTTAGTCGATGCAACAATGGCTGAAGTTTTCCCCGTAGATATCAACGATCAAATAGACGAAGAGGACTTGAGCGACGATGAATTCGAAGAGGTAAGGCCAGTTTGAATGAGAGTGGAGACGATGAAATTGCGTATAACGAAAATATATTCCTTTGGCAAGTGTGAATTGGAATGATCGAGTATTAAAACATAACTGTGTTGTTTTTAGGGGCAGCTATGGCGATGAGCCGATGGAAAATGACGAAAGGTGAATTAATGCCGGCGAACCGGCGTGTATTTTGAAATTTGTGCTCGATCAGTGAAGCATTTCAATTGTCGACATGAATGTCACTAAACCTTCAAGCATATGAAGCTCACATCGCTTTTTCTTTCGTTTAGTTTACAAATGGAAAACACTGCCCATTTCTGAAGAGACTGTTAACCCTAAAGACGAGAAAATAGGCCCAGAAAGTTTTGAACTTCTCAAAAGTTCTGGGAAAAGGAGGATATGGGAAGGTAATAATATTAAAAGCTAATATTCATTAACTTTATAAATGGCAGAGAAGACCTTAAACTACTCTAGCGATGTTCGTTGGAAAGCTTTTGGTGTTAGGCCAAAAGAATAAACTCATCTAATACTGTTTTAATTTTTATGTCTAGGTTTTTCAAGTCAAGAAAGTGGATGGACGAAACAAGAACAAAATATTCGCAATGAAAGTTCTGAAGAAGGTTTGTGTTGTGTTGATTTTCACATTGATTCGAGTTATATAAGCTTAACAATAAGCTTTTAAGCACAAAAAGCTCAAATTACTGCTCGAGATCTTGGTAATCACTACATTGTATATGATCTGCTTTTGTTTTTGATTTCGCTTTTTAAAGCTTCTGGCGATTTTTCAATGAGCGAGTATACTTTCGATCAATACCCCTGCAGTATGTGACGTGCATCAATACAACGAAAAAATTATAAATTGTTATCATTCCAGATCAGTGGTTGCGGTGCCTCCAGGCCTGTAGATAATGGCCAAGGTTAAGCTTTACAACCATAAAAAATATACGCAATTTTTATTATTCTAAAAGAATTGCTACACATTCTCGAAATGTTTAATCAGGTGGTGAAAGTATTTGCCTTTGCAAGTACATGTACATTTATACTAGATTCTAGTATGTTCCTGGAAATTGTCTTTCATAAAAACTATGAAGGTGTTTATACGTGGGGGTTGGGCCAAAATTTATGTTATGCAATTACATGTATTTTGATAAAAAATTGTTCTAGTTCCTTGATGAGTACAGTACACAAATGTACATTAACAAAATATTCATCTAATTGACCTAAGTACCTTATTTTTAAGCAAACAAGTTGATCACATGAAAAATGCCATGTAGGTGAAATTTGAAAATTTCCTTTTTATGAACATAGATATAACAAATGGATTTCATTTGTCCTTGATGGGCATCTGTACAGTTATAGATGTACAAAGAACAAAAAACTAGCCAAAGAGTGAAATCAACTTACATGTGTATATTTACCCACTTACCCATTCTAGTTAAATTGTATATGAGGGGGACATTGGGGACGGGGGGGGGGGGGATCTCCAAAACCGTAAAACCACAAGATTTCAACCTCAAATACCGGAAAACCACACTGAAACTTGAGAAAAAGTCCTCTCTTACTAACGTTGTAAAGAAACTTCCCTCACCGTCGTACCGTATGAAACCGCAATACCGTAATACCGCAGTTTTCGATCAAAAATACCGTAAAACTGTAAGAAAAATGGCTCAGAAACCACAATACCGCAAACCCCAATGTCTCCTCTAATATACATGTATAATAATAATTAATTATATTATTAATTATATTATTATATGCTTATTTCCATGTATCAAGTGTTATATTATGTTGTGGTTTAAATTTAATTTTGGTTTAAAAATTTTTATACCTCCACTTTGATTTGTCTTGTATTCATTATAAAATAATAAATGATTGTAAATCTAAAACAAAGAAAAATATGACTCAAACTGGTTTACAACATTCTAAACCAAATTAAATATTTTTGATTTTCCGTTATTATAAATGCCTGGTATACGTCATCAAACTTTCATCATTGAGCATGCTTGTACTTGTTTGGGGCTTGCAACTTATTTGTTCTTTATCACTCTGAATAAAGCTATTTATTTTTACTCATCAGATATAGTTTGTTCCACCTAAAGGCTCAAAAAATGACAGGCTAACTTCTAAAACTAAACTGCCATATTGAATAGAAAAATTGTTTAATAAGGTGTAGGTATTGTTTCCGGGCAGTCTTTGTACAAAACATAAAATCGTAAGATGTTAACTTTGCCCATCCTCCCTGACTCTTTGGAAATCTGCAAACTGATGTGAAAATTAAGTCACGTAACAAAGCATACTTGTAAAAGGATTTTTGTTGCAAAAGACACTAACTCATGTGAAGGAAATTCTTACAAAAAAATTAATGTAGTGGAAAATTATTCACGAAAATGTGTACATGCGTGTAGACAGTATGAACCTAGAGTCGGGGCATACATTTTAAAAATGTTAATGGTGTCATGATATGTAGTTCAGTACTGTGATGAAGGTGGGAGCCACAGCCACTGCGGTCAAACGTCAAACAAAAATAAACTATGCCGACAAACCTCATCATTACACCAGGTTTAAACGCGTCTAACTTTTTGGTAAACGTCCCAAAAAAAATGGTAAATCAACAGAATGCTGGAAATATACTGAACTTGTGTTTGAAAAGTCTTATAGAAACTTTCCTTTTACATGTACCTACTTTTGTTTCCTTTCGCAAATTACCATCGAGGTTTTGATTTTGGGTTGTTGCAATGGTTTTCCTTCAAAAATTTTGCTCGGGAAATTGGCGAGTGGGCGACTAAGAATTTACGCCTTTGCGCATGCCTCGAGCGTTTGACCGCGGTGAAGAGCCACAGTGGCCTAATGGTGGCACATTGGACTCAGGATTGAGTGCTACAGGTTCAAGCTTGGTCAGGAATCATTTTGTATTTTTGGGTAAGACTCTTTAGTCTTGTAGCTTCTTTATTTGTTAAGTCAAGACATGTTTGATTTTCTTTAGGCTGCCATCATTAGAAGTCACAAGGATACTGCCATACCAAAGCTGAACGAAATATTTTAGAAGCTGTCAAGGTAAATATAATTCTATTATGCATATATATAATTTTATTATGCTCAAAAACACTATAAAAATTAATAATTTGTCCAAACTTTTTGTTGGATGTTTTTGTTTTTGCAGCATCCGTTTATTGTTGACCTAATATATGCTTTTCAAACTGGAGGAAAACTTTACCTTATTTTGGAATATCTCAGTGGTATGTTTTCTTTGGTTCTGTTATAAAACTAATAATTAAATTAAATGCCATTTTTGTTAGCCCGATATTCAAATTTTGCTGCATTGCTTTGTTTTGATGCTAAAATATACTTTATCTTGTTATTGAGATATCATAACTAGTAGAGGATGTAAAATTTAGTTACATGTATTTGGAAGGAAATGGGTCTATTTATGTTTACCACTAACACTAAATTTAATTTTCAATGCATTTTATGTTATTGAGGAGTTCAAACCAATCTCATTCCCAGAGCCCTCATTACCGCAATCCAAAGGAACGGGAAACAAGGGATAAAGCGTTCCGCCATGACATGCGCAGTAAAACTGGAAGTCCAGTAATCCGGTCATGGTGGAAAGCTTTATCCCAGAGTATCTCGTTGCCCGTTCCACTGCTGGATAAGGGTAATGAGGACTCTGGGAATGAGATTGAGTTCAAACATAAAC